AGGCCAACTCATCAAGATCTACATGAAATTCATCAAAGCAAATATGAATCATATCACATCAGAGAAGGACAACCAAAAATACCTTTCACCACAAGAGACCACAAGAAAAAGGGTGAAGGGTTCGGTTGGGGTTGGCCTCGGGCGGTTGACACGCGACCTCGGCGGGGCTAAGATGCACACGGGTGATCGATGGCGTGCAAGGGTTGCTCTGCTGGTCACGTGGATGATCGAATGGTGATGAACAAAGGTTGTAAGTCGATGGACAGCGACGGAATGGTCGATCCGCTCGTTGGTGACTCGCGCAGCTTCTCCTGTGCGGTGGTGCGCGCGTGCCGTTGGGGATCCGCGGGTGAGGAGTAGCACCGATGGAGTTGGGGAGAATTTCGGTGGCTTCTCCTCCAAGATATGATTAGATCTAGAGGAGAGGGGGAAAAGGATGAGAGAAGAGAGAGCTAAGGTGTGGTTGCAGCGAGAGAGAGTGGAGAGTGAGGGGTTTAAATAGATCTTTAGGGCAAGAGTCCTTTAGGTCTAGGACTTGCCATATCTAGGCACCAAGGGGAGGGCTGGGGTGGATGGTCAGAAGATCCTTAAGACCTGGTCAATTGACCCTTAAATTAGAATCAAAATAGACCAACAAACACTTAGGAAAATTTTTAGAAATCAAATGCAATGGGGCGCCGGTTTGCAAGGCACTCGGGCCAGGTTCATAAGGGTCCAACTAGACCGAATTTTTCAACAAATGGTCAAAATAATATATGTTCGAGGTTCGGGTTGAAACGGCTTGAAAACAGATTAAAACAGATTTAATTCGATTTACGCGATTAAACTGAAAATTCTAATGAAATAAATCCTAAAATAATTCTATTACATTCAAAATAAATTAAACATAGAAATCAAATAAATAAACAAATAAATGAGACGAGCAGACAATAAGATAATCGGCAAGTAATTAAAACAAAGGCAAATAATCAATTATAAGCAATTAGTTAAAAATATAATATCTGAAAAATCTAATAAACGAACGGGGCGCTACATTCTATCCTCCTTAAAAGATTTTCGTTGCCAGAAATAAAAAGAAAACAAACCCAACTAGGAAAATCATGGTACATCCAAATACAAGGGAACCCTCTCAGGACATAAAGTTCGGGTACTTCCTCCGAATCCCAAGTAGCCTCGTCCTCGCCATCCCAGCTCCACTGCACCTTGACGAGATCAATAGCCCGATTTCTCAGATGAAATTTTCGGTCAAGTACAGCAATTGGTACCTCCACATAGGTAAGGTCTCGCTCGACCTGAAACTCGCCAAAGTCCACCACATGCTCGGGGTCACGCATGTATCTCCGCAGCATCGAAACATTGAATACATCGTGCACCCCCGACAAGTTGGGTGGTAAAGCCAGCCAGTAGGCTAAGTTGCCGACTCGTCGGAGAATCTGAAATGGTCCGATAAAACTCGGCTGAAGTTTTCCCTTCTTCCCGAAGCGAAACACGCCCTTCATCAGCGAGACCTTCAAGAAGACATGATCCCGTACCTCAAACTCCAGGCCTTTCTACGATTTTTGGCATAGGACTTCAGTCGGTCCTGGGCGGTCTTGATCCTCTTCCGGATCAACTCAACCTGTGTCGCCGCCTTTAGGATCATCTCCGGACCCAGAATCCTCCTCTGACCGACCACATCCGAATACAAGGGGGTCCTGACCTTACGCCCGTACAATGCCTCGTACGGCGCCATTTTGATTGATGTCTGATAACTATTGTTAGAGGCCAACTCGACCAGTTTCAACGACTCCTCCCAGGACACACCCCTATCGAGAACCACTAGCCTCAAAAGATCCTCCAGAAACTGGATGATGCGCTCGGACTGCCCGTCGGTCTCGGGGTGAAAATCGGTACTAAACACCAAGTTTGTCCCAAGGGCTAAGTGCAAACTCCTTCAAAATTGCCTAGTAAAACGGACATGAAGTCAAATTATCTCTCTAATGTACAGCTTCGAGTACTGCTCCATAGTCATCATCATGGTCACAGGCAAGAAATGTGCCGACTTAGTTAGTCGGTCCACGATCACCCAAATAGCATCCTTCTCGGATCCTGACCTCGATAAGCCAATCACAAAGTCTATCGTCATCTTCTCCCACTTCCACTGTGGAATATCCAATGGATGGAGTAACCCAGACGGATTTTGGTGCTCAGCCTTCACTAGCTGACACACCAAACAGTTATTTACAAATATCGCCACCTGCCGCTCATACCTCTCCACCAGAAGGAATTTTTCGAGTCCTGATACATCTTCGTACTCCTGGGATCAACGTTGTACAGGGCACTATGTGCCTCTCTCAAGATCTCCTTCCACAGCTCCCACACCTTCAGGACACAAAGTTTCCCTTCAAAAACCAAAGCCCCATCTGATGCAACTACGAAACTTCCAACCTTGCCGGCATCTATCAACTCTCTCATCCGGTGTAGAGAATAATCGTTCAGTTGTTCCATGACTATCCTCTCCCGAAGAGTCGATGTCACAACTAGTGCTTCCAACACAACACTAGTCAACGAGGTCGACTCCATCATCTCTAGCTTCATTTGCTGAACTCTTGACACAATGCCTCCTGCCAAGTAAGCATACTAGATAGCCCGCTGTGACTCCTCCGACTCAAGGCGTCAGTGACCATGTTAGTTTTCCTGGGATGGTAGGTAATTGTGCAGTCGTAATCCTTAACGAGCTTTAACTATCGCCGTTGCTGCATGTTGAGATTCTTCTGGGTGAAGATGTACTTCAGGATTTTGTGGTAGGTAAAGATCTCGCACTTGCCTCTGTAAAGGTAGTGCCGCCAAATCTTCAAGGCATTGACCACTGCGGCTAACTCCAAGTCATGGGTAGGGTAGTTCATCTCATGAGGCTTCAACTGCCTCGACGCGAATGCCACGACTCTCCCTTGCTGCATCAACACGCAGCCCAAACCCAACTTCGAAGCATCACTGTAGATGGTGAAAACCAAAGTCGGATCCGGAATGGTCAACACAGGTGTTGTGGTCAGTCTTCGCTTCAACTCTTGGAAACTAGCCTCGCACTTGGGACTCTACTCGAATCTCGCAGCTTTCTTCATCAACTGTGCCATCGGTTGGGCTATCTTCGAAAAGCCCTTAATAAACCTACGGTAGTAACCTACTAGGCCCAGGAAACTACAGATATCGCTGGCATTCTTCGGCGTACACCGATTCTTCACCGCCTCGATCTTGCCGGGATCCACCTCTATGCCTCTAGCCGTCACGATATGGCCAAGGAAAGCCACTCGATCGAGCTAGAACTCGCAATTCGAGAACTTCGTGTACAGCCTCTTCTTGCGAAGCGTCTCAAATACAAGTCTCGGATGGACCATATGCTGCTCGACGTCATTCGAATAGACTAAAATATCATCGATAAAGAAAATGAAAAATTGGTCTAGGTAGGGGGGGAAGACTCGGTTCATCAAATCCGTGAATACCGCCGGCGCGTTGCTTAACCTGAACGGCATCACCACAAACTCGTAGTGCCCATACCTAGTCCGAAAGGCCGTCTTGAAAATGTCGGAATCCCGAATCTTCAGCTGATGGTAGCCAGATTGTCTTTGCTGCCAAGTCTTGTCTCACAAGGTAAGTTCCCTTGGTTGATCCGCTGCCATCACTTATGGAATGTTTTGACCACAAGGTTTGAGTCCCTTCAAATGATAAATGCATCTTGTGGATACTTCTTTAATCCTGGACAATCAGTAACTAAATTTAATTAATTTCGATTAACTAATATTAAGGAATTAAAGAGAATAGGGTAATAGAAGTACTTCCTTTATATATTCGGACAGCACATAATCTGAGACATCTGAAAGTTCCGCTTGAACTTATTTATTTTCAAAACTTGTGCTGATGGGATTTGAACAAGGTTTTGAAACGGATGGATTGATTTGAGGATTTTGCGAGATTATATTGATGTGGATTATGTCTTGTATGTGTACATGTGTTGTGGACATTTGGGCAATGAGATCCCAACAACTTATGATGATGCTAAGCTGAGTAATTTGAGTGAATGAATCTAGTAGCACCCGTTAAAATGTTTACGAAATGAAAATGTTTTCAAAAAATTTACTCTGATTTTTGAAAACTCAAGATTTTTTCTTATAAAAATAACGGGGCATTACAGAGTGGTATCAGAGCCGGTCTAGGTTTGTAGCGCCCCGTTCGTTTATTTGAATTTTTTGAATATTATATTATTATTTATTTGCATTTTATTTGATTATTGCCATTGTTTTATATTAGTTGCTCGATTATTGTATATAAACTGCTCGTCTCTGTCTGCCCGATTTATCGGCTTATAAATTTTATTTTTATGTGATATATTTATGTGAATTATTGTGCGGTTTAATATAATTATTTATGAGTTATATTATTAGGATCTATTGGAATTAGATTTTAATTGTTTTCGGCGATTTTCAATTTAATCACGTAAACCGAAGGGTTTATCCATTTTAATTCGTTTTCGAGTCGTATCGACCCAATATTGCGGCCCAAAGACATATGATGCCACCATACATGAGCTAGAATTTCAAAACATCTCTTTGATCGATTTTATTGAGGTTTATGTGCCAATTAAGCTACTCTTCAATGGATAATTATCCTAATTGATAGCATTACATCTTTTCCCTCAAATTTTGTTCTTTTAAGAGTGAAGAGAGAGAAAGAGCAGATCCGTATCAATTCTGAATCTCTTCTCTCTCGCAACCCAACCATCAACCTTTCTTCTCGCTCAAATTCAAACAGATCCAAAAAATTCAAACCCTCGGCACTCTTTCTCCAAAATTTCCATCCGCTTCACACGTCTTTTCTCCTCCAGCCCGCCGGCGTTACACAGTCGCGACCAATTGGTGCTGTGCCGTCGCGAATCAGTGACACCCGACCACCAACGCTACCATCGTGACCAGCCGTACTACTTTGCCGACAAGACCGACTCTTGAACAGCAGCGAGCAACGAACAACTATCTCCTCCTCCCGGAGTTTTCCAGATCGCCATCGCTCCACCCACAGCGATCTTTTCCAGCTGATCCACAGACCACCGGCGACCGTCCTTGTTCGAACAGCGCCCCACCGGAAACATGCGAATTGCAACCGAGGGCCGACCGAGTCACCGCGAGTCTAAATCGAGCCCAGTCGAGGAAGCTGCGATCTTGCACCTTGCCGAAGAGACCCACGCGCGCTACGCTGAGCCGCCGCTCAGCCGGCACGCACACTGGCAGCCACAAATCACCGCTGCAGCACCTCGTCGGTTCCTTCGGGCTACCGAGCAGATCGAGTGACACCCGGGCTAAGAGCAGCCGCAATCTGAGCCGTCTCTGAAAGCCTTTGAACCGAGCCTTTCTTTTTCTAGTTTAATTCTCGAGAAAGGTGTGTGAGGAGTCGAGCCCTCGACCTACGTTTCTAATATCGTTATGTATTGCCTACCTCGTCTAATCAGGTGGGTGTTGATAAACCTTACCGTGTATGTTATTCATTATAATTGCTTAACTTGATAATCAATGTATGTATGTGAATCATTAGTCTTCGAGAGTGTATCTCCTGGTGGACGGTTCTCCTAGTTATGCCTAATGAGAGTGTATCTCCCGTGGATGTTGATCCGATGGTTTAGCTCCCGTTGTTGGACGGTTTAGATGTGATCACATGAGCGTAGGGCGGTATAGAAGGTAGAATAGATGATTATGTTCATGCTGCGATTAAGATTTTACGTCTTTATATTGATTATACGGCATGGTATTCCCACAGTGAGCTAGTTGTTTGCTCACTCCCACTATTAACCATATTTCAGGTTGAGCTGGTGGCCGTGGCGAAAGACGAGCGAGGCGGGGTCATTGTTTGATATTGAACTGCTAGTTACCTGCTTCCGCTTGATTATTATTATTATTATTTATTATCTCATGTTAGACTTGCTTATTTCTCGTTTGAAAACTGAACCAATGTTATTTGGGATTTTAATTCATGCTTGGGATTTTTAGAACTGGATTGATTATTCAGATTTGGATTTGATTGGACAATATTATCATGTTGGTTTTGATTCGATTATTTTGCATGATGGATCATATGTCGTTAGCATGAGACATTTGTTTCGGGGATGGTTCTTCCCCGATGTTTAAGTGATTGACTTAAACCGTTTTTATGTGGAAAAATTGAGTAGCGCCCATTAAATAGTCTTTAAATTAATTATTGAAATATTAACTCTGATTTTTGGAAAAATAAATTATTATTTTTCACTTAAAAATAGCAGGGCGTTACAGTTTGGTGTCAGAGCAGGTCTACGTTTCTGTAGACTGCTTCTAAATTTGTTTCAGTATTTTTTAATATGACCCCTCGCTTCGTCCAGCCGCGCCAGCTCAAGCTATGAGTGTTGTTTAATAGATTACATGTTTATTTGGGGCTTAAGAATTTACCCTCTGTGTATATGGATTTAAACTCTAGCGGTATAGAGTTAAGTTTTGGCTTTAGAAGTTAATGGTTGAGAATTTCGATATGATGTTATCGAGTTAAATTCAATCTATAACAATTCTCTCACTATAAGTTTCAGTTTAGTGTCTTCGAGTGAGGACCATTCGTAAGCCATCTCAAAAAGAGAAGGCTTAAGTGAAGGGAGCAGACAACCGAAGAAATCCCAGGTGTGTGGATTATTCGGAAGTCTGTAACCGTTGTCAATATGACCATCAGATGCGTGTTAGAACCCAATCGAATGAGAATCAGGAGAAGTGTATAGGTGCCTTGTCCATGCTATCGTTCGACTCCGAGGAGTGGTGGGGAAACTTAATACATAACACTGTCGCGACTCTCGAGGGTGGCTAAGCCTCGAGAAAGGCGATAGTTGTCTATTCTTTTGCAAAAAAATTTCAATCAAAGGAATCTGACTTTGTTCTTAGGGCAAGTAGGCTGATCCGACACCACGTGAATATCATATGCCATGACTGCGGGGTGACACTTCAATCTTGAAGGAGACGACAAAATTATCTTCCGTGTATTGAGTCGAAAGCGATCGACTAGCGGCAACGAGACTAACCGGGGACGACTAGAACCGATGGTGGATGCAGTGAATCGTGGACTCGTGAAGTCAAAGCAGTCTTGGTCTTTTCTTAATTTTTTTTTTCTCGTAGACTTTTTGTTGTCAGTATTTTTACCGGAGTAGAATCGAAAGATTCGTCCCTGGGTCGTATCGCAAGGAAGGTTAGCTGGATACTCTTGTGCGTATATTCAATCACGGAAATAAGAAAAAGAATTCCTAAACACTCTAATTCAATATTTTTTTGGTTTTGATTATCAACTACTGATTTAAACTGAATAAAATGAAAGCAAATAACTTTACTGAATGATTAAAGTGCTAGGGAGTCGGGGATAATTGCTTTCTGTTCTAACACAATCACGGGAAATCGATTGCTCGGTTAAAGGTCTTGAATCGTTTCTCGTTCAGAGGTTTACTCTCAATAACTCTTCGTAACAAGAGAGTGAATGTAAACGATCAACTATCAGTTCCAACAACACATAGATAATACGCTTCCGAACAAATCTATTCTAAACGAGCCTAATTCTACCAACGTCTCCCCTCTCGGTTCTACACGTTGATTATCTAGGTTAGAAAGGTGATCAATCTACTAACCCTATTATTCACACAACTCGAATAGACATGAATAATCAAAAGCATTCAATTATAACGAACCTAATCAATCATCCCTTATCCCTAGTGAATGCATTTAGCTACTCATATGAATTTCAACATCAACATTCAAATTAACCCAAGCCATCATCATCAACAAGCAATTGTGAAAAAGAACTTACGATTAATAGTGAGAATCCCAATGTGAAATCCAAGTAAACAATCCGAATCCAAAGCGAAGAAAGTAGGAGTTTTTCAATCTCCAAAACAGATCAAAAGTGCAAAAGAAAGAAAAGGAATAGGTTTTTCTCCAGAAAGAACGTAAAAACAAAGTCTGAAAAGTGAATCCTCCACCCTGGGATCGAAATCAGCATTAAAAATCCCGTCCTCGAAATTCGTGCCGGTTAAGTCGCGACTCGCGACTTCCTCGCGAGTCGCGCGTCGCCATTTTCTTATTACTCTGGGGTTGGTCGCGAGGCGCGACATCGTCTCGCAACTGCCTTTTAGCCCTAGTTTTTCTCGCGGGCCGCGACGAGTTCGCGAGTCGCGACTCAACTCGTGATTCGCGAGAATTTCTGGGCGCGTTTTCTGTCCGTTTTTTAGTCCTCTTCGTTGTCTTCTGGGCTCGGCCACGGGAATTCTCGATATCACAGTCTCGGCACACGCAATCCTAACCTCGACCGGCACAACCTACCTCCTGAAAACACAAACACGGAAAAACACGAAGCAAAACACGGCATAAAGATACAAAAATATAAACTAAAGGCAAAAATGGGACAAACAACTCCCCCACACTAAGACCTTTGTTCATCCCGAACAAAGAGAAAAGAAAAGAAAGGAGAAGACACAAAACAAAAACAAGTCTGAACATCAGTCGATAACAAGATAAATCTCAATACGTTCAACTTCAACAATGAGCATTCAAATGGCATATATGAACATAACACGACTACATGCTTGACCGTTAAACTTCAATATGATGTCCACTCAAATATGGGAATGTATATGTGTGTCTCACTCACTTTCTTATACAAATAAAAATATAGGATGCACTCAAATTGGTCGATAACAAGTTCACTCATAGGCTTGCCCATTGTCTAACGTCTACTCTAAACCAATCAAAATCGAAACTAGTGAATCAAAAGGTCTTTCAGGGTTGTAACGTAGGCTCTTTGGACAGGTAGGATAAATATAGGCTAAGTGGCTCGAATAGAACTCAAACTCCTAACCCAAGAATGTACGCGCAACGGGTTACTCAAACAAACCGGACCTCCCCCACACTTCTCCTAAAAGCACACGTTTACACCCAACTTATTTTGGTTTTTTTTATGCGACCCTATTTGGTCACTTTTTTCTTTTTTTTTTTTTTTTTTCAATAATTTCATCATCACGGGGTTATATAAAAAAAAACAATTAGGCTCAAAAGGGCAACTAGGGAATAACTGCAGAAAAAAACAAGGATAGAAAGATACAAAAAATGCCTTAATCATATTCACAGTTCACAACTCAAATTGATTCATTTCGATGCAGACTCAGGGCAAGTTCTGATCAAACAAGAGCACGACCAATGTATCTCAAGAAAGAAATAAGGCTCAAACCTCACTAGGCAAATATATGAATGTCAATCAAGCCATTAACTAAGCAGTTCATCACCCTATGCCATACAATGCCAACATCACAACTCATCGAATCCATTAAACACATCTTAACTCATCATGAATTTTCCAAGTACAGACCCAAAACACATAAATCCTACACTAGACTGGTCCACAAGCAAACGAAAGAAATAAAACACACCTTAAACAAAAAACTAGACCTGGTCAATCATATAGCCACATAAACTCCCCCACACTTAAAATTAGACAATGTCCCCATTGTCGATCCGCAGTGAAAGGAAGTTGTACGTACACAATCAACCGACAAGACACAACAAAGAGAAAATACAAAAGAGAAACAAAATAAGGAGAAAAGAAAAAGAAAAGCTAACCAACACAGTTACAAGTCACTGTGGTCCATGAGGAGGAGAAGGAGGAGGTGGATAAGGCTGGCTAGTGCCGGAGCTCCACTGTGTGTAACGCGTGTCCCACTGGCTCTGCCACAGCTCAATAGCCTGAAAGCGGGCATTAATATCCCGCATGTCACGATCGTAGCGGTCCTCGTAAGCTGTCCACCACGGAGGAGGCTGGGACCACAAAGCGGGTGGGGCAGATGGCTCCGACGGGCGAGGAGACGAACGTGTGGCCCGTGGTTCCCAGGAATCAGCCTCCGGGGTCGGGTGCCAATCATTAGGAGGCGGAAGGCGATGGTCCTCGTCGATAAAAGCCTGATCGTGCTCCATCGCCTCCATCTCGTGAGTATCCGCGGTCTCCTGCCGAGGGCGAGACGAGCCTGCTTCAGCCGCGGAGGCAGCCTCGCCCACCTTCTTCATGTAGGTGAGGTAGGCCGGGCGCTTCTCATAGATCTCAAAGGCGCGGCGATTAAGGAGGAGGCCCGCATGACTGAGCTCGTAATAGTCAATGAAACGCATACGCGAAGGAAGGCTGCCAGACGCCGCCGGGTCGACCTTGTAGTGCAAAGCCAAAGCGGTCACTATATGACCAAAGCAAGCGCCGCTCGCTTGTTCCGAATGATGGCTCGACACTCATCCTTAAAAATATGCAACACGTCGCGCTGCTTTCCCTCGAGCATAGCCCA